CAGCGTTATGACATTTCCTTAATCATAATCATCTTAGCCTTCAATGTCAATCGGTTATAAATTGAAACTGCATCATCACAGCAATTGTTAGGCACCAAGAGACTGTTGTTGAAGCACCTCAAATGAATGTGAAATTGTCCACAGCTAATGTCAGTCAATGGACAGAGAAGGTGCCTTCGTAAGTCCACTGGTGCTCAGTTAAATGTGTAAAATCGTCATCGTCACAATCATCATCACCGTCGTCGTCGTTATTGTCATCGTGACCAGTCATCATAACCATCGTTATTTTCATTATTATTGTCAACATCATCATTTTCATCAGCAGTGTCAACGTCATCCTGGTCATCATTATTTAACTTATCTGAAACAGAGGACACCGCCTGCGTAAATGTCACAGGACTGACCGCTCGCCGTCCGGCGTATGCGGGCCACAAGAAACGGGCGGCACTTCCGATGGCACTCGCGCACGAACAAAAATCCAACAGCAGGCCCGTCGCGACGGGCATCAATGTTCACGCATTATGGCAGCGAAGAGCGTAATCTGGCCCGTTCGGTGCTAAACGCAGGCAAGCTTTGCAGTGATTTTTTTTGTCTGTTTAAATGACACCAATTAATTAAAAACAAAACCTCAGTACATTGCTATCGACAACTTTTTTAGCATGTTTCATAACTACTCGGCGCAAGTCACCACTCGATAATTGAACACGCACGTACGTATTACACATGCAAAATACGTTGCTATAAGTTATGTACATGTAAGCGATTCCTTTATCAGAACTCGGCTAAGTGACCACTATTTTTAGTGGAGTATAACTATGTCGCTCTGATTCATCACCGTGACATTTAAAGGGTGAGCGTATCGAACAGAGTAATTGAATGCGAGCCAGCGGACGGAACCGCCAGATTTACAATGTGCTTCTATATGTACATCTTAGAGGCTTTAGTAATACAAAAAATCAATCAATGGTTGGATTCTGCATTGTATACTGGGTGCAGGCCGTACAAAAAATGTTCTTCGAAATATACAGCCGGGTATAAAACGTGTGACTTAAAATGCGGTTTGGTATTTGAATATTAATGAAATTCGTACAATTGTCATTTTTCATTGATTGGACCATTATCCTAATATCATAATGCGTGCTACGGCATTTTACAGCGTAGGTACAAAAAAAAACATCCTCATGAAGCGACATTCGTCTTCGGGGGATGACAGCTGCATACTACGTGTGAAATGACAGGTTTGATTTGATCACCCATGCAGGAATAAATAAATGATCCAAAATGCCATGCCTTTGCAACTTGGTGTCCCTTCAGCACTCTGTACAAAGTCCAAGCACCGCTTTGTACAGACCAATGGTTTGAGTTTTCAACAGCTACCATAAGAAGAGCGAGCATTAATGTCATGCAAGAGGCAAGCACTTATAATGGAGTGGAATCAACAGAGCAGTAACACTTTACAATATCTGCAATGTTCTGCCATAACACTGACCGGTCATTGGTCACAAATGACTGCACAAAAGCGACCATCGCATCAAATTTTGTGTCCGCACATAAATTGGCTGAATTACTGCCCTGAGAATAAAAATATTGGGTCGACCGTCGCTGCGACGAGCATTACTCCCGAGCGCAGAGCGGGTGGGAAGGTGCTGGCCCCAGCGGTAACTTGAAGGGATTTCAGTGGTAGCTCCGTGATATCCGCTTCCGTGGAATAGGAAGGGTCGCCACTGCTCTGCGAGAGATGCGAACGGCTACTTTGTCTCATGACGCAACGCCGATGGCATGGTCGGGATAAAATTGGAGGGGAAAAAAGATTTGCCAAAGCACTTTGAGGAAAGAAAGGGCCTTGTTAATCAACTTACTGGATTGTCACTTTAAACTTGCAAATATCGACGGAAACTGGAGTGGAATAAGATGATTTTAAGTGACATTTATCTCGATCCTAAATCTCGAACAGGTTATCGTGACTTTACAAACTTCATGAATACAATGCAAATTTACAAACTTCATGAATACAATGCAATACGATGTGTAAGATACTGGGAAATGCACATCAAAACTACAGCAAACCTATGCGTCCGGTTTCTCCTGTAGCTCTATCACTCTTAAAAAACCTCACAGAGTGATTCATTGCTTAGACTCCTCAGGCAGCTCATTCTTTCAGCCAATGTTAAGACAAAATATCTGTGAAAAGAGCTTCATAGCTCATAGGATTTCTGATTATGAATACACAGTTTAAATGGCTTCCAAGACACGTGCTGTCATATGCTGAATAGCACTTTTTTTTTTAAACAGCTATCGATTTTTTTCCCCCAAGTGCTCATGGAATAAAAATTACAGCAGTGGTTACGGATTTTTTTTCCATTCACGGGGCTTAAAAAGTTTAGCAAAATTATGGGCACTAAATTACTAGGATGCGACGCACACTGCGGAAAAGTTCGAGCGCTTCTGGAATTACATTAACCTCGCACTCTTGCAACCTACAAAGAAAAAAAATCTTAACCCTTTCCCATTCCGAGGCATCTGCAAGTTGCAGGGTGGGTTGTCTTGTTCACCGCTGAACCTCAGAACGCGCAAACGGTTAGCGTTCATTTTATTTAGAAAGGCCTAGCGCCGTTGTCTTTTAAAGACATTGGTACTCACCGCAGAGAGCACGACTGGACTCTATGTTAGCTGGTGCCTGATTTTGCCACACGGGCAAGGGTTAAGCGCCTGCCGTCAATTTCATCGGACAGAGGCCAGTCATGAATTGGATTTTTAAAAATAAATTCAAGAGCACAATGACAAGAGAGCAATTTTGGCTTTTGCCACGCACTACTGCAGACACCTTCACGAGTAAACCCACCCCCCAATTACAGGGGTTTCGTGAGTTCAAAACGCCCGCAGCAGCAGTGGCGAAAGCTTTGGAGAAGGAACCCGCAGGACCACGCTGCGGTAAAACGAGCAGAGCCGAAGCAATTTTCGGACAACTCCGTGGTCCACTGTGACTTTACGTCGGCGATGCCGAGAGGCGACGCATGTGACGCCAGCAGCAGCAGCAGCAGTACGATCGCCTGCGTGAGTCAGTTACGCCTATTGGCCACTCAAACTCGATGCTTGTTTCGGGCGTGGTGGCAAACACCGTCACAGGCTGAGGGAGCGGCTGCCACCAGCCAGTCTCATGCAGTCAGGGAGCTTTGAAAATGCTAGCGTCTGCGGTTTCCATAACCGCGTGCGTGTGAGTGCGCGCGTGTGTCCGTGTGTGTCCTTCTTGGCGTTGTTGAGAAACTTCACATTGATGGCACGACAGTCGGTCATATTTAGGGCTCAATCATCTAAACCAGACTTGGCCTCAACCTTCCCCCACCTCGCCCCCCCCTCCCCCACCCTTTCTTCAACCCCTTAGTGCCCAATGTGGTGAGGTTTGGTCATCAACGGAAAGTCTTCATCTACCAGTGAATTGACATTGAGATGAATGTTGTTGACGCTTCATAATCATAAACAGATTTAATGCGGACGCGCTCCAAAACACGAATACACTGGAGGTCCAAGCGCTGCCTGTGGTGACAGTCTTCAATTAAAGTATCTCAAGAAAGGAGCGGAAATGCCCAAGAGGGCGACCAACGTGGAGATGGAGCACTGAGATCTGCGCAGAAGCTATTCATGGATTCTGGCATCACGGGACCATTAGTTGATGGCAAGAGATGTGGGGGGGCCTTCATCCTGCAGTGGATAGGTCATGCCTGCTGCTGACGATGGCCCAGATCTTTCCCGTTCTGTCAACCGAGATCAAAGTCAAATGAGCAACGGGGCTGTGTACAACTCCGTCAGCCACCATTGAGCAACTGGTGGAAATTTCAGATCATGGCTGATGACAATGGTGATGATGACGATGACGCCGGCGGTATCCTCGATGACTTCTGGAACGAACCGTGAGATTTGACACAGGCTGGGTGACAGTGAATTGTGTGATCCATAACAGAGTTTTTTTGTTTTGGGTTAGAGCGCATTAAATACAAATGTGTCGTTAAAACCCGCCGCCACCCGACACAGGAAATTAGTAAGGTTTGTCGCGTTGACAAAACATGCAAATTCGTTACTAGAACAACACACCGGTGTGTTGGAGAGTAAACCCACAACGTTAACAATTCGATTACGATGTTTAATAACAACCAGCCTCATTTGTCAACGGCCAGAGTTGTGGAGAAATCCTCGAAACACATTATTATGGATAATATTGGTCGCGTTAAACTAAATGTGTGATGCTGGAAAATGAGGAGTGGAATAGCTCACGATTGTGCGCTGCTTAGTTAACCAACGGGTCGCGGGTTATAATTGCGACATGCGGCAGGTTAGGCCGAAATCCCCACTTGCAGTGTCAAGGCTTTTTCAATTGCTCACCGAAAACATTCCGGGTTGCTGGTGGACCGACGTGGCCATTGAATGATAGCCTGACGTTAGAGATTGAGCGGTATTCTCGATGGGGTGTGCTGGATTTGGAAATACTTTCCGGGTCACCAATATAGACAGACCCAGCTGAAATGAGTCTCCGTGTAGTTTGACTCAAGCCACATGAGATGTTTTGGGGAGAAATGCCCATCCAGCCATATGAACGTGGCATTTCTGCTGTTGGCCTCAGGGCTGCCATGGAGAGATTGACTTCTGCCAGGGGAACGTGAAACTTGCACCACTTGTGCAGGGATATGAACGGAGAGACAAGCGCCACCCCAGTGCAAATGTGAGCAGGGAGAAACCCAACACACACACTTATCACAGACCCTATAACACTTCGTGGCAGTTGGTGGCTGTAGAATACATTTAACACCTCTCCAGTGTGTTCTTCAGTTGTCCGACGTTTCTGGGGAGCATCGTTTTAAGCGATCCGCTCCAACAATCTTGGAGCTTTACAAGATTCTCAACCTATCTGCACGTGGATCGGAGAGCCGCAGAACCCATGCGGTGCAATTAACCCCCCGCTGCCCACCGCCGCCCCGCCCCCCCCCATGGCCCTGCTGGCACGTCGCCGCTCACGGCGCCGGGCCCCCGTCGAGCTCACACGTCGGCCTGGGTGGAGCCCATGAGGCTGCTCACGTGCACCGTGTGGTGGCGCCGGCTCGTGAACAGCTCGTGGGGCGTGAGCCCGTCGGGCGTCACGCAGCGGCCCTGGCCCAGCACCACGGAGGCGGGCACGCTGGCCTTGCGGCGCAGCGTGGAGTCGCGGCTCGCGCTCCCGGCCACCGCTGCGGCCCACGCGTCGGACACGTCGCACTGGCCCCCCGCCGCGCTGTTCAGGTTCACGGCGGAGATGGTGGCGGCGCGCTGCAGCGGCGCGATGATAGGCGGCTGCTCCCTGTCGCCGTCGGCCCTGCGCCCGCGCTCCCCCCTCCGGCCGCCCAGGTCGTTCATCTCGAAACTCTGCCGCAGCTCGGCGCTCGCCTGCGCGCTCCACTTCCACGGCGCCCCACCGCCGTCGCCGGCCGCCGCGGTCGCGGCGCCCGGCGCCGTCCCCGGCGAGATGCGGATGACCGGGTGCCCGCGCCCGGCGTCGCTGGGGCTGCGCCCGCGGCCGCTCGACACCTCGCTGCCGGACGAGGAGGACGACGCGTCGGTGGTGGTGGGCGTCGCGGCCACGCTGCGCTGCCGCTGGAACGACCTCGCCGCGCCGGTGCCGTGCTGGCGCAGGCTGCCGTACGTGTCGGAGACGTTGACGCGAACCCGGGCGCCGCCGCCCGCCTTGGGCGACGCCGTCACGGAGGAGGGGGCTGGCGGGGGCGGAGCCGTCGGGCCGTCGTGCGCCATCTCCTCCGGGATGTGCACCAGCTGACTGGAGCCCGGGCGGGACTGCACCACCACGCGCGCGGCACCGGCAGCGATGCCGGCGCTGTTGCCTTGATCTTGCTGAATGTAGCCGTTCCCGCCGGCGTTGCCGTTGGCCGCGCTTCCTCCGTTACACGCTTGCGGCTGTTGCTGCAGCTGCTGCTGCTGCAGCTGCTGCTGGTGCTGCGGCTGCTGCTGCACGCTGGCGCCAGCGTTGCTGGCGTACGCTGGCGTGGAGATCGGGTAGCGCTGGTCGCCCACGTTGATGCAGACGCCGGAGCCCAGCTCGCCGTTGGAGCGCCGGTCCGCGCTCAGCTGCCGTTGCAGCGACTGGCGGCTCGTCGAGTCGGCGCTCTGCAGCGACGCGTGGCGCTGCGCCGAGCGCCACTGCGCCAGCAGCTGCCGCGAGCGCATCGAGTCGAGCGACGCGTTCGCCGCGTCCGACGTCGCGTACACGGTCGCCGAGCCGCCACCGGTGCCGCCGGCGCCGCCGACACCCCCACCGACCGACACGATCGCCGGCAGGTGGTGCTGGTGGTGCTGCTGGTGGTGGTGGTGGCCGCCGTTGTGGCCGATGGCGCCGGAGAAGTCCTCCGGGGCCGGCCCGGCGCCCGCCCGCGGGAGGGTGTTGCTGGCGAAGGTGAGCAGCTCGGCGCCGCCCGGCAGCGCGTTGGGGTTAATGGTCTGGATGTCGAGGCTGGCGCGCTTGAAGTGCGACGGCGCCGACGCACCGCCCACGGAGCCGCTCGAGACGCAGCCGCCGCCCTGCTCCTGTAGGCCGCCACCAGGGCCGCCGCAAACGCCCACGCCGGCGCCGCCGCAGCCGGGGTCCCCGCCGCCACCTCCCACGATGCCCCGCGTGAGCGCCCCCTCCGGCTGCTGGCGAGGGAGGTCGAGCTCACGCTCGCGCCGCGCGCCGGGGATGCTCTCGCCGGCGCGCGCCATCGGCTCGTGGCCCAGGTCGAGGAAGGGCTTGGATGCCACACCGCCGTCACCTCGGGCCGCCGCTTGGCCGCCCGCGTTCTTCGGCTTGAAGTTGTCCACCACGAAGCGGCCCTGCGAACGCCGGGAAACGGTTGGGTGGGGGAGCCACCCGGCATGCTCGCGGCAGCTGTGGGCGCAATGGCGCCCGGTAGCAGCATCGCTGCGGCGACTCGACCGGCGACCTCTGGGTTACAGGTCCAGCACACGCACCACTCCACCACGGAGCTCCCGGTTTGGGGCACCGCGGTGGCGAGATGTTAACTACCTCGCCTGGTATACAGGGAGGTCGTGGCTTCGATTTCGACCCTGGCACCTGCTGTATATTGGGAGTGTGCATGTTCAAGAGTATTTGTCTGCTATAAATTTCCACACAACGATAAGCCCCTTATTTGAGCTATTTGTGATGGCCAGGTCGCGTCTGAAAAATAGCCCAGTGGGCCTTATGTGGTCAGAAAAAATAAAGAATATTCTATAATCTCTTTTGGCACTGCGCCGTCTGAGATATGCCGGGCCCCCCAGCCTGGCTCGTGCAGGCTCGGCTCAGATGTCCTAGTGGAGGATGTGTATTTGTGGGTAGGTGGCAGCTTGTGAAACGAAGTTGACAAGGGTCAAAACTCTGCCTCGGGATTTCCAGTCTCGGATGATTATTATTTGCTTCTGTGTGCATTGTTAAATGGTTAAGTCTGCTGATTTTGTGACCGATCACGTGAAACTGATGATGTATTGCTTATGTCTTTCCTTGGGAATCCATGAGATGTGAATCTCATAGATTGTTCCACATTAAATACCCGTTACTACATATAATACATATTTTGTGGGGGGCGATCGTTATGAACTCGGGTCACAGATTCATAGCGATACGCTTGTGAAAACTCCTTTTTTAAAAGCAGTTTTTTCGTGTATGGTTTGTTGTCCTTCCCTCGCACCCTCTGAATAGCATCGTTGACTATGTCCGGTGCGAAAGAAGTTCAACAGACATACATATAACGATGCGTGAACCCCGTGACCCGAGTTCGATTCCCAGCCACGGCAAACATTAGTGGCGAATGATATCCGAATTGGCCCTTCACCCGAGCCACAAAAATACGATTCAAGTCATCGGGCAAACAACCAACCTTCACTGATAGTGGCACCATCGCCACCAGTTCCCCAGCGCGTCCACCACTCACCAGGTACAGGGCGACGGCTGCCCCCAGGAGGAATCCGGTGTAGATGTCGGCAGGGTGGCTCCTGTACTGCACCGTCTGCGCCAGGCCCGAGATGCTGGCGCACAGCATGAAGGCCAGCACCAGCACCGCCTTGAGCAGCTTGGTGCTGTCGGTCAGCACCGTGTTCAGGTACATCTGGCGGCGATGGTGACACAGGGGGGAGTTGCTCGATGATGGTCGTGACTTTTCAAGAGCGCCGGTCGGTTTGTTCCATCACAGTGCCGTGTTCTCGCTCACCGGCTTGCTATCCGCAACAGTGGGGCAATGTCCTTGGCGCTCGTTTGCCGCCCGCATTCACAAGAACATCGTGAGTCGTACGAAATTATTTCTGGCATGAAATATGGAAGTCATCGAAATTTTTACTTTTTTTTTTATTATCACAAATATGCCCTCCCTCAGGTGTCAGTCTTTTCACCTGGCGCAACCAAACGGCTGTCTTCCCTGCACTCTCCCAGCTCGGTGGCATGGCGAGCGGTCGTGTGCGTGCTTTTTATTACTTAACTATACTTACTACTTTTTGCTAAAATGTTCAGTGCTTTGAGCCCGACAGCCAACCGGGTTAATACCGCGGGTGTGTTGACCATAAATACGCGCCGTCCACTTAGCAATGGAATGCTCAAGATGCTCAAGATCCCATGGCGCAGTTTAATGAAAACGAACGCCATTTGTGCGTCATCGTCAAAGTGTTCAAAATGTGAAAAGTTACCCGCAAATTATTTGATTTGATGAAACCGTATCGCAAACATCACCCCCAACCGGCACACTACGCTTGTCTGTGTAAACGTAGTGCCTTCGTGATGGCCTTGCGATAAGAATGGGGCAAATACTAAATTTGCTAATATGTGATTAGAATTATACGGCTCTTGTGCTCAAGACTGCCTCCGTCAGGCCTGTGGTGAGTCACAGAACTTCCTCTTGCTCAGCGCCATTCAGCGGTAAAACTAAACAATTTTTTATTTTACCAGGTAAGGCCCACTGAACTGTATAGCTCTTTTTTCAGAATCGACCTGGCAATAAATGATAGCTCAACGAAGTGGCTATTCTTGGGGCCAAATACTCCAAACGCGTGTTTCTAAATGTGGAGGGAAAAACCAGAGGGACTGAAGTAAAATCCACGTGACCACGGGAAGAGAGACACGCAAACTCCAAATGAAACCAATGGAACACCAATATGGGGCTGATTGAATCAGGTCAGGTCTTTAAAATAACAAATGTGAAAAATAAAATGGTGACTCCCAAAAATAAAAATGTGCCTAATAGTTTCTCTATCAGCTGCTTCCTTCGGTGCCATTACATTTTATAATGATGTTATCTCGCCCGGCAAGGAGATGGAGCGATGAAATCATCTCCTGCGCACGTCCTCGGTTGATCGTTACATCGCAGAACCATGAAAGGGGGCAGCATCTTGGGGAAGCCTTCAAACGACAGAATTTTTTATAACCACTCCGTAAATCCCTTTTGACTAACTGAACTTTTACATATTTAATTCTATGTTTAAATATTGTCTAAGATGACTTATTGCTGTCATGCGGATTATTAATTGGTTCTGCCGGCTGAATTCTCAATTATTTTGTCCCTGTGAAATAAGGCTAATGCATCACTGTCACTTCGTCAAGATCCCTTCTTGAAAAAAAAGTGACGCATGCATCTCGAGGGCTAAACAGAGATGACTAATAGATAACATTGAAGCTCACGTAAGTCCCGAATCGGGTTGCCGAACGTCCTGGGTGTCCCCGGGATTATCTTGTTGCGAAAGTGGCCACTGTCCTGGGAATACTGTAACTCTTCTGCAGGGGCGACGTTAATAGTCTCGTTTTTTGACAGTTGCGTAAGAATAATTAACCGTTCAAGACGACGCATTTACGAGTAGTTCTCCCCTCTCGCCGTTTTGCGAGTTGTATGCATGAATTATGTATTACATATGTTGAACTTCTTTCGCGCGAAGCCAACGGTGCTAATCGGAGGTGCTTGGGGAAGGACAACAAACGAAACACAAAATGCAGTTCTAAAGAAATGAGTTTTCAATCTAGATGATTTGAAAGTGCATAGGTCCAGTGGCTTCCTAAATATCGGAAAGAAGAGCATTCCAGACGGCCGCTGAAGCGCATCCGAGAACGCGGCGATGCGGATAACGTCTTTGTTCGATGGCCAGCCAAAAGTGTAATGCATAGTGTAGTGTAGAGTAGTGTATAGTGTAGTGCATAGTGTAGTGTATAGTGTCATGTGTAATGTATGTAGCATCTGAAAGCATGTGATGCAGTGAACGTCTTTGTTCGACGGTTCGCCAAAAGCTGCCACTGCTGCGATGATGATGATGAGAGTTGTCCCCGTCCTTCTTCCCAAGATACGTCCCGGTTTTTTTTCTACCTCCTGCGAAGAACGTCAAAGGCGCTGCAACAACACTTCACTCACGGAGATGTAGACGGCAGCGAAGGCGCCCACGCTGGCGTGCTGGCACGGAAAGGAACGCCTGCAACGACAACGGCGACAACACATGGTGGTGGCTACTTGTCCACCGCAAAGAACCAGCCCGCCACCGGCCGCTGGCTCTATGTAGCCACCAGCCGTTGGCTCTATGTAGCCACCAACCTGCAGCTTTGCCTGGGCACACCGGCCGTTGGCTCTGCGCAGACACTGGTGGCCGATTGACTGCTCGTCACATTGTAACTCGGGGCGTCACAAAAGTGCGTCCGTAACAAAAAGTGCGGCCCTGCGTTTGCTCGCTGGCTCACGACACTGCACGGCGGAAGGGCCTCCAGCTAAAGGGAGCTCTGGAGAGCCCCCTCCCCTGACAGAGGATATTTGGCCTACTTTGCCACGCTGACCAGATGTGCTAGTGGAGGAGGTGGGATAACCCACACTTTAACCCCACCACACGCAATCCACCCATGGACTGATGCTGCTGCACACATTTACTGTACACCACTGGATTCAGGAATCTTGCCCAATCGTTTCAACTGCCACGCCAGGAGACTGAATTGATGGATTGAATCGGCGACCTCCAGATGACAAGTTTAGCATGCGGAACATTACAGCACGGCAGCATCCACCAAACTTTACATACAAATTTAATCCGAGAGAAACGTCAAACGTCATAAAATATATTCATTAGAGGCAATTCCCATTTGTGCCTGTGTATGCCTTAACATGGCATGCATCACCGCTTCCCACTCCCGCAGTTGCACTCTTGATAGAGGGCAGAGTGTTCTTAATTATGTGAGCTCGAGAAAAAAATAATACGTTTTTCATGCCTAAGCGTCAAGTTAAACATCAGGGCTCTCTTCAGATTGCACAGAAACTCGCAGTTATTCCCATTGCTGCTGTGGTGGAACGTTGACCAGTGTGCTGCCCATAATGCCAGGGCAGCATCATTAAGAATCAGAATGTTTATTTATACTGGAGGAATCCGATGAGCTTTTCACAGATGTCAGTCGGGGCACGGGGTTCGAATGTCTCAACAACAAACAGAAGAAGAACACAAGAACACACTGATCGATTTCAGAAGCAACCTGGCCACGAATGATATCTCAATGAGGTGGCTTATCATGTGGCAATGTATAGAGGGCAAAATTATCTAAATTATTTAAATGCATGTTTATAACTCTCCAATGGCCAGCCTATCAACTGCAGCCAATTGCCATGACACAAATGCAAGCCGTTAAGAAGAGGATTGGTGAACTCGAATTTCGAGTTCATGACCTGATGAAGCTCACAGCAGTTTGAGCGAAATGTTAAATTCACTCGTCAAAATGTCTAATTCCACCTTGTGTTAACGCTTAATTGGTCGGAATTTGATTGATGAGTTGCCACGTATAAATAATAATGATGCGTTTGTAAACGCGATAGTCTTGTTGGGTTGTGGAGGGTTAGTGAAATAAATTTTCGGGTAAAACCACTACCACGTGGGCCACACCCGACCAAAAAATAAATACAAAAAAAACCACTGAACACATTTGTCAAAAAGCACTGTGGCATTAATTAAAAGTCCAATGATATGTGCTGTAAAGAAGGGCAACGGCCCTTCTTTACAGCACATTGCCAGCAACGTCACGAATAGACATCTAAATATTCTGATTCTGATTCAGCAATAATGTACTATGACAATGTGCAACCAAGAAGCGCCATTGCCAGAAACATGAGCAGTGTCCATCCTCAAAGACATCAGTGATCATGGCCTGCCTTCCACGTAGCCCTGTCCATGATATTTACTCAACAACTCTGCATCGGATTCTCCCAGGTGCATCCAATCGTTGCAAGTTGCTTCTGCAACTGAATTTGCTGTCTTTCCCATCTCCTCCTTTATCTGGCAACCCTCATTTTCCCGTTATTTTTTTTGCACCGCTGATCAGCGCGGTTGGCTACGTACGGTGCAACAGAAGTTCAACATACATACATATTCCCCCCCCCCCAGTCCCAAATCGTACGGCTGATGTAGATGCAGAGCAGCAACTACAAGATCACGTTCAGGTGGTCAAGCCCAGATAACAAACGCGTCAGGAGTAACCCAAGCACACAAAGTACGGATCGAGACGAGTGAGAGGAACGGCCGCCGCATAGCTTCGGGCGCACCTGGCGTGGGAGATAGAGCGGCGGTCGGTGCCCGTGCACACGTCGCGCGTCACGAAGTCGCCCTCCTCGCAGCCGCCGGCCGCCAGCAGCGTGTAGTTGGGCCGGCACACGGTGAGGAAGTACGGCGCCTGGTAGCCTGTGGCGAGCTGCACCACGTCCGTCATGAGCGCCGTGACGCAGAGGCCGAACGCGTGCATGCCTGCCGGGGGTGGCCACCGCTGTTATTGCAATCGTGGTGGTGGTCGTCGTCGCCGCGTTCGACGTCTTCATCGTCGTCGTAACATTTATGGTCGTCGTCATCATGGTTGACATCGTCGTCGTCATCATCACAATCATTATCATCATCATCATCATCACGATCATCATGATCGACGTCATCGTCGTCATGAAAAACATCATCGTTATTGTCATCATGATTTACATCGTCATCATCATGATTGACATCGTCATCACAATCATTATCATGATCATCATGATCGACGTCATCGTCATCATGATCATCATGATCGACACCATAGTCGTCATCGTCATGATCGTTGTTGTCATAATTCGCATCATTGTCATCATGATGATCGACATCGTCGTCGTCATCATCATAATTGACAAGATTATCATCATGATCATTATCAATCATCGACATCATCGTCATCATTATTAGCATCATTGTCATCGTCGTCTTGATCATCAACGTGCATAATACTTGTAAGCATGATCATTCACACACACCACGTACAAATATATAACTTCTTTATTATTGACTTTAGTTATTATCAACTCCCGGCAGATACAAGGGCATGCGGTCAGTCAGTTGAGTTATCAGAGGTGACTCTTGCGCACTGACTAGTCCCGGAATCATTGCTACAACAATTCACATCCGCAAGAGCGACTCTTATGTGATATGTCAATCTACTAGCCAACTTATGTTACCACGTGGACTCCACAGTGAAGGTTTTAATTCTTCGAATAAACACGGCAGTTGCTGAGAAAGCTCGCACCAATTCTAGTTTTCGTGACTGCAAGGATCCATACTCTTTGGTTCTTTCGGTAAAGTCACGTAGGTGAAAATAATAATAAAATAAAATTAAAATAAAAAAGTGAAAACAACTAAATTAAATTACGACGTTTCGGGCGCAACACAAGCATCCTTCATCACTTAAGCGTCCTTCATCACCACTTAAGAGCGAAGCGTCAAACATCATCATACGTATACCAGGGCAGTTCTCATTCACCCTCAGAATGATTCGGTGCGCGAGCAAAATCACAGATGTGTGCAAAGGACGCCATGCCGATCACCAACAGTTTCACCAGATCTGTGGCCCTTTATCTGGATGTTTGGCAAACTGCACGAAAGATTATTACATTTTAAATGGGATGCCAAACAAACGGCTGTGGGGAACCCGTGAAACGCATGCATCGGCGAGCATTGCGGTTCCACCCATGGATCCCGTATGTGTTTGTATGAAGAAGCGTGTAAGTAGCGGTTCCACCACTGCATGAGAATTAATTCTTCCCCTGGCGTCATCTGCTACAGCTCAGCAGGCAGGCGGCGTCGTGCCTCCGCGTGTCCGCGGGGAGCGGTTATCTGGAGGCCCCTTCTCAATTCGCCGGTGGGGGGGGGGGGGGGGGGGGGGGGAGAAGCGTTGGCAGGATACCGCCCTTGGAGAAAATAGAAAATCGATGTCGCGGCGTCGAGGCAGATGGACCCGATATCGAATTTTCGTTGTGCCCAAAAACTTTTTGATGCGTGTTTGTTTCCCCGCTCCGACGCCTTTATTCCGCGCGTAAAAATCTCAGCACATTTTCAGCGCGCTTCCTAGAAATGTCGATGTGCGTGTGTGTTTTACTGCCGCGTAGGGATTCTCGCGGTTGCCGCACGTTGTTCTGAGCGATGTCCGACGTTTCGCCCCGCGTGCCTGGGAGCAACGCGTTTGGCATTTTGCCGAACGACATGCGCTCACAAGCCAAATGCAAACCCGGGGAGCTGTGTGCGTATTTATTTTTAGTGGCGTGTGCAGACCACATGCTGACATGTACTTTGGCATGTGAGTATCTATGTATGTATGTATCCCATATGTATTTTGTATGAAGGGCATTGCTGTATTATGTATGCATGATACATTATTAAGTGTCTCTAATTTTACAGCCATTGATTTAACTCCATTAATGTTTTAGTCTACTCCACAACATAAAATAAATTACATTTACCGCATAAATTCAGATGAACTACAGAGTGGACGTTTACATTCTTGGAATAAACACGGTCGTGGTACGCTGAATGTTAAGGGAGACCATAAAACCAGTCATGAAGTTAATTTGATTCACTTGAATTCTCATGTCAATTTGTGAGAATATATTCTTGTTCAAATGAATTATATTACGTAACAAAATAAGGCAAAGGTGCAGCACTGCAATTGCTCGAAATCTCTTCCACGCGAGCGAACTGTTGCGGGTATTTTGGTCTACTCTTCAACGTTGGCCAGATATGTTCCGAGTGGTGGGCATACTCACACTTTACCCCACCGTGTGCCAATGATACCGCCTTGGTGGACAAGAGGCTGGGGGGTATTCTTTGGGTCTATCGGTAAAGTCACGTAGATAGGTTCAAAGAAAATAACTAAAAAAACTACGACGTTTCGATCGCAACACAAACGACCGCTTGTGTTGCGATCGAAGCGTCGTAGTTTTTTTTTGCTAGTTTCTTTGAACCTATCTACGTGACTTTACCGAAAGACTCAACAGAATATGAATTCCTGCAGCCACGAAAGCTGTAAGTCAAAGCTGGGGGGTGTTAAGGAACTAAAAAATCGGTTTCACTGCCGCCCCAGACAGGGGAATCGAACCGGAAAACGCTCGGTTGCAGGTTCAGGGCATGAACCACTCCAGTGACGGGATGCCAATTACCTCGCCATGTATGCAGGAGGTCGTGGGTTTGATCCCGACCGTGACGCATGCTGTATATTAGGAGTTTGCGTGTCTTTCTCCGCGTGGTTGCATGAATTTTTCTCCGGCTCCTCCGGTTTTGCCTTCCACATTTCAAATCAACATCACGCGTTCAGAGTATTGGGCTGTTATAAATGTCCACGTGATAAGCCACTTCGTTGAGCTATCATTTGTGGCCAGGTTTCTTCTGAAAAAGAACAGTTAAATAGCTGAGTGGGCCTCAACTTGGTTAATTAAAAAATTGTTTAGTTTATTTTTTAGTTTAGTTTCATGTTATTTTATTACGTTATTTTATACAGAATGTTACTTGTACGAGGAGCATAGAATCACAGTACAATGATGGATTTTGCTCCACTACTCACCGCCACATTGCATAACCCCCGCAGCTGTCTGTGACAACCCTGGCGTGCGCAGTCGCCACCCAAGAACGGCTGCCCAAGTGGTGGAGACCACCGATCCTCGAGATCGGAGGAATGTGAAATGTGGATAACTTGGTAGAAGCAGCAGCAGATTTGGGTGACTGCAAGCACTTGCCCGTGTGATTCATTTGAAGCAGCGCGGCCAAACGATGGCAACCTTGTACCGGAGTCTAAATCCTTGACACAATGGAAGAGTCCAAGTGGCACGTGGGTGGCACAGGGATCACGGCGCTGATGCGGCACCTCTGAGATCCTCCGGGGGGGTGGGGGTGGGGGGGATTGTGCTGCTGGATATCAGTAAAAAAGAGCTTCATAGCTGATATAAATAAAGTTTCTGATTCTGAAATAAGCGGTGAATTGAGGATCTCAGCCAAAGTCGCGGGTGACAGCGCAAAAAACAAAAACCCATCATGTGAAATTTGGATTTTTCGCTTTTATTTGCTTATCCGTGGTAGTTCTATGGGTTCTCTGTGCGAGTATGTAGGTTTCTCTATATGAGTCTACAAGGTTCTCCCACATTACTCACATCATCGGTCGTTGCTCGACACACGCTCTTTCGGGAGGTGCTGTTAAATTGAATCCATCTGGCAACCTCAGGTGTCACAGAATGTGGCTTTCCAAGGTCAAAACACAACAATAAACTTGATCGTCGATTGCATTTCAAATGCCGTACATAAGAAGAAGACTTGAGGCTCAGGCGTGACTTTGATGACGGTGTGCTTTACTCGTAATAAAGGTTTTCGGGTGAGATTGCGTAAATATAAATGTGTCGTTAAACCCTACACCACCCGACACAGCCAATTAGTAAGTTTTGTAATGTAAAGAAAACGTGCCAATTAGTACCAGCACACCGATGTGTTAGAGAGTAAACTCACAACATTTACAATTTGAGTACGACGTTTCGCTTGTGATTACAACCAGCTTCATTTAAAATAAATATCAAAGGCAAAGCTGTGAATATGTGTCTGTTCAAAATGTTTAGCGTACTTCCCGACATGCAACAAACTTGAAATTTGCCATGTGGTTACTTTCCAGACTGTTCACCGTGCAAACATTATTAAAATACACTCTTGTGTATTTTTTGGTGGGGGGAGCTCAATAATGCATATATTTTTTGCACGGCAAGAAGCTGTGACATCACATCTGTCACGTGACCCGCGCATGTGGAAGCGTAACGCATTGTAGTGTAGTGGTTAGTGTGCCGCGCTACGAACCCGGCGAACCGAGTTCGATTCCCGCTCACGGCCACCACCGGTGACGACTATTTCAACCGCTCCTGGGCCTCCCCTAGGTCGACTCAGCCTCAAACGAGTAACTGCTGTGGTGTGTGAACATCGCCACTGGGGAGACAAAGGCGGCCGGGCATGGTGCTGTCATCCACCCCCTCGTTTTTAATAATTGTAAGAGGCAAGGTGATGTCATCACTGTGCGCTTATCGAGAAGTTCAGAGGGCGGTTAATGTAATCATATAATTTGTAAATGTGAAAATATACAGTACGTATTACCGGTTGGGTTAGTCACAGTTAGTCAATATATATGGTCTATAGTCTCACCGATGAAGCGCACGGATCGACGTAGGAAGGAGTTGAAGTTGCAGCCACCGGCGTTGATGTTTGGCTCCAGCAAGTGCTCACTGCCGCGCTTAATCAGCACGCAGTACAGGAGGCCTTCCATGAGCAGGATCTGCACAGAGCGGAGACCCGTGGGGGGGCGGGGGGGGGTGTTGCCTTAGACGCAGAGACGGATTTAGAACAATGAGGTGCTGTGGGCCCCCTGGGTGCAGTAATATATCATTTGTACATTTGGTTGTGGTCCAATTCTCACAGCGCAAAGGCTATCGCGAAAGCGTGGTGTTTCACGCACAGGCAGAGGCTGCCAGGAGCCGGGCTCGATGTTGTAATTTTTTGCAATTTCAGCAACTTGTGGGTAATTTCCCAAATTAGCTAAAAGCAAAAGGTCAAGCCATCACAGGCGGCCTTCCCATTTTTGCGAATGGCACCAACCGGATCTCCGACGTCCGCCGCAAAGCAGACGGCAGCGTATGTCATGATTTCAAATCTGCCGCGTGGTATTAACCAGGGCGGCCGCCGGTCCGCGAACCGCACACCTCTGCAGAAAAGCGGCGGCAAGCCCGTGGTGTCGCCTGCTGTACATTTGGAGTTTGCATGTCTCTCTCTCTCTCACCATGGTCGTGCGGATTTTTCCCCGGGTCCTCCGGTTTTCCCCTCCACGTTTAGAATCAATATCACGCGTTTATAGAGTATTTGGCTGCTACACGTTTTCACACGAAGATGAGCCACTTCGTGCTCGGAGCAGCTGTTGGCACAGTGGCACCCGGTAGCAGCGTCACTGCAGGTCCAGTGCACGCACCACTCCACCACGGAGGCTCCCGGTTTGGGGCACCCCAATGACGAGATGTTAACTACCTCGCCTGGTATACAGGGAGGTCGTGGGTTCCATTCCAAACCTGCCACCTGTATATTGGGGGTTTGAATGTTCACTCTCTCCGTGGGAGTATAGATTTTCCCCCGGGTCTTCTTGTTTTTCCCTCCACGTTGAGAATCAACGTGCACTGAGAGTATTTGGCTGCTATACATTTTCACACGAAGATAAACCACTTCCTTGAGCTATAGTTTTGTGATAGCCCGGTCACTTCTGAAAAAGAGCTATATAGCTCAGTGGGCCTTACCTGATAGAAAAACATATATATTTGGGATCTTTAGCCAGTATCAGGAATGATGAAAAATCAGAATAGCTTTGACTCTTTCTGGCAATAAAACACGTATTGCGATGTTTAAACACCAAATAGATACATGCTCGCCTTTTGGCGTTCTCTGGTCTAAGACAACGCCATGAAGAAGGTTGTCTGCGGTGTAGGCCAATGAATTTAGAAGACAATGCGAAAATTATCAGTGAACGTTTGTTTGCATGTTTTGGCATAAATATGTGTGGTTAATGCAGACTTGTTGCAGACCTTGGCGTTTCAACATCTTACGCCTCCTGTTCTATCGCCAGAAAGGCTCAAACCTATTCTCATTGCTTCACCAAGAAAAAAAACCAAACAGACAGACAGATGAATCTGCAGGTGGATGGGTACCGAGAGCGCAGGTCCTGCGAAGGCCAAGCTGAGGAGCATGAGGAAAGGCAGCAGCTCATCCGAGGGGTCCAGGTAGGGCATGCTCAGCGACCGGTCGCGGCAGCGGAACCCGGCCTGCACCGGCTGGAACACGTCGGTGAGCTCCAGGAAGTAGAGCGACACGGCCGCAGACACCACCAGCGGCAGCTGCGTTTTCACCGCCAAGCCCCCAGGCGGTCAACGCCAGTGCATGGAGAGAGGAGGAGGGGGGGGGGGTGAGTGGAGGTGAGTTTGTGTTTTGGGGATACGTTACAGAGCACGGGGAGCAGCGGGCGGGCGGGGGGCAGCAGCCATGACTGAGACATCCATGACAAAGAGCTTCGTAGCTCATCGGATTCTTCCAGTCGACATAAAGATTCTGATGTCGGAAAATTTGTTGGGGGTGGGGGGGGGGGGCGGTGTCATTTTAGGGAATAGTTCCCTGGTGGTTTTTACCTTTGTTTAATATCGTGTCTGCTGAGCACAGAGGGCACCAGAGGCCCACAATGTCCAGTTGTCAGCAATTAACAGCACTCTGATTAAAGTTGTAAGAGATAAGAGTAGATGCTTACGTCGAGGAATTGGTTAAGTTACAGATAGGATCTGTGAGGTTCACCCTCCAACCTAATCACAGAGAAGAGGAGTTCTATCACACTATGGTTGAGCTAACTCTACGCAACGACAGTAGTGACGACTGATTTGGTGCTGAGCGCACTGCGTGTGCGCTGCTGTGTATTTAGAGGTTCCGCCATTGGCAACAATTGGCGTTTCCGTTTGCCCTGTTGACGACGGCGACACGCGGACTCATAAAAGGAAAATAACCAGGATTACTGTGCGGATTGTTGAGGGTGTCTGTTAGCCGCATCAAAACAGACTGAGGGTGTCTGGAACCCTCCCACTCACAGTGGCAGCGCTGCTGCATTCAGAAACTTTTAAAACAACGTTCCTCATTACTCTCGGCATAGAGCGTCTCTTTTACTTGGACATGGTGTGTCAACAAATTTGGGAACTGCAAATTCAGCCAGAAACGATTTTTCCAACCTTTCTTGATATGGGAGAAAATGGCACAGACATACCGGAATGCTGGACGAACTGACTTTTCATCCATGCTGAGACAGTGGTGGTGCATTTGTCAAATCGTTAGTTCAGTGGTTCATAACCTGGAGTGCACGCACCACCTGGGGGTACGAGATGCCCTTTCTGTGGGTGCGAGACATGGCCAGATGTTTTTTTAAGGTAAAAATAATCGAAAACACAAATTAAGCACGGGCACGTAAGTACAACTACTTTGTTTCATCAAATCCCTGTGTGTTTATTTACATGATACATTTGTTAACGATTATTGAAAAACAAAGGGGAGCAAGCCTGCAGTAAAGGTTAAGAGCCACTGCGTTAGTTTATTCAATGGATAAACGATATTTCCCAAAAGTGCACCTTGTTAACTACCTTGAAAAAGACACGTCATCCATATTATTTTTACTGCAAGATTTTGCTTCAAGGTGTGGAACGACAGATTCATAATCCAACTGAAGGCAAAATAAATGTTCCATTGCCGGATTTGCCCGCATGCACAAGAAGCACCCCAGGGGATGGGGACATTTACTTCTGAATGGTCATCCGTCATCTGCTTGGTGTAGTGTACAAATGCGAGGCTCAAGACTTGGGGCGAAGCATGGGTTCGATCCCGACCCTGACGCCTGTATATTTGGAGAATGCGTGTCTCTCTCTCTCCCCGTGGTCGCGTGGATTTTTCTCCGGGTCCTTCGGTTTTTCCCTCCACATTTAGAATTAACGTACATTCAGATCATATGGCTGCTATACATTTCCACACGATAAGCCAACTTCGACAAGCCATAATTTGTGATAGCCATGTCACTTCTGAAAGAAGGGCTGTCGTAGCTCAGTGGGCTCTACCATGGCAAAACAACAAATAGTACATCAAAAATAGACTGGGCTGAGACTGTGGAAATTATCTGGCTTGGATCTTGTCTTCATCCCATGTGGGAGGCCTGGATTGGCGCTGAAATCTCAGAGGCATGGCTGCGGCACTTTGATATGAGAAGGGTTGTCTGACTCACCGACTCACTCTGCCGGTGTGGTTTTAACGGACGTAGTAAATTTTTCTTTATAATATTAATAAAATATAACGGATGCAGCCTTTGCTATTTCATACTAAGGCTTTCACGACCAATATTATGATTGATAATTAGCATACTACTTTGGTGAGGGGGGGGGGTTAGGTCACGTGAGCACAACGTCAGTTCGTTTTACACTCCACCGCTAGACACAACCAAACGAATGAAGCTGTCACGTGGACAAAATGCGATCATTGATTTTACTTCGAGCAAACTGGTAGGCAAAATTTAAAACATTTGTTTCATTTAAGAAACTTGCCCCATTGTTTCAACTGCCGCACCGGGAGATGTGCTGTTGAGAAATTGGCACGGCGGTTGCGAGCGTGAGTGCGTGCTGCGGACTTATTCATGTCGAGCGTGCGATTACGCATCCATCTTTTTCCCCCCACAAATGAATTCCAATTGTACTGTGCACGTCACATCACGAGGTGAAGAATCCACGCGGAAATGTCAGAGAGCAGTGCACCTCGTGTTATTGGAGGACGGCTGCAGAAATATTCTTCACTCTTCAAACAGAAAAATTCGCACCGCCTTTTAGTCACACTCTACTCTGGCATGAATTCCCGTGCGACAATCAAACCAATGCATATTTCGCTATTCGCGCTGGTACATAGCCATATTAAGTGCACACATTAATTGAACATGGTGATGATGTGTCGTCGTTGTTATTGTGCACGTGCAATCATTTGTGGCCAGCCTGAGACAACCCAGTTTCAATTAGAGGTGTCTGAAACCCAGATTCCAACCCAGGCTCTCACCGCTCCGAGCCGCGCGGCCTCCTCGTGGCACGACGCGTGCCGTTCGTCAGCATTGCCAGTAGCCGAGCGTTGCGAACGAATGCTCGTGGCGACACTATCACTGACCTCCACGAAGTAGAAACATGGCAGCAAAGTGACGCTATCCTTGGACTGTCTGTGCCGCGGCTTGTCTTTGGTTGATATGACACGAGACATGTTGAATGTCATACCAGGATGGGCCCTCTCGAGATACGTCGGCAAACCGCGGCGGCTCCTGCCATTCACCACAACACAGAGACACACGCGCGCGCAAACATGGATTTGTGTTATGGTGTGTGCGTGTTGGAGTATTGTATACGCGTGTGGGGAGCTCTGCACTACGAACCTGGCGACCCGAGTTCGATTCCCGCTCACGGCCAACACTGGTGACGATTATCTTAACCGGTCAAGGGTCTCCCCTACGTCGACTCAGCCTCAAATGAGTACCTTGTGTGGTGTGTAAACATCACCACTGGGGAGACAAAGGTGGTCGGCTGTGGTGTTGGCCACCCACCCCCTTGTGTGCCGTGTCGGTATTCATAGGTGCTCGGTAACAGCACTTGCCCCAACAGTCTGTCAAGGCTTCATGGGGGATCTTTGTATATGTGTAAACATTCTATATGTAAAGGAAACATTTAATGATTTACAGCCCCTGATGTTAACTACTTGGCCTGGCATGGGTTCGATCCCGACCCTGATGCCTGCTGTACATTTGGAGTTTGCATGTCTCTCTCTCTCCCTATGGTTGCGTCGATTTTTTCTCCATGTCTCAGGATTTTTCCCTTCCAAATTTAGAATCAACAAGCGTTAAAATGTATTTGGTTGCTATACATTTCCACACGATAAGCCACTTCGTTGAGCTATCATTTGTGGCCAGGTCGCTTCTGAAAAAGAGCTGTATCGCTCAGTGGGCCTTACCTGGTAGAATAAATAGTAACTGCTGAATGAAGGTCTGCCCATGTTGTCTAGGTCATTGGGGTTTATTTGACCATACTTCACCGCGCTTGCCACTGCCGGCTGGTGAATGTGGGGGGGGGGGGGGGGGGTACACAAAACCGGTTGTGGACATATCTCTCTCGTCAAGGGTCACGCTTTCGCCTCGGATGACCGGTGGTCGCAGTGATCATCAACGCTCGACCGTTGACAGAAATAGACACGCGCACGCGCAGATGTTTTCACCCACGTCCTCGTTGGTTTCACAAAATGAACCCTCCAACCCACGCAAGTTGCCTCGCTCGCAAAAGGGCGATTGCGCCCACACGGTCTGTCCGCTCTGCGCGCTTAGTAAGCGGTGACTTGGCACACACCTCGGAGCATTCGCTTGTTCCTTCTTCTGTACGGAACACAGCGCATTAGCAGGATCATTTGAAAAGCACAGGAGGGGGAAGGCAACTAATGAAATTGAGCTGTCATGTCAATTCAGGTGGGGACTAACGTGTATATGAGCGCGTGCTTGCATGGGGTGTAGCGGTTAGCGCGCTGCGCTACGAACCCAGGTGACCCGAGTTCCATTCCCACTCAGGATCATAAACAGTGACGATGATCTGAATCGGTCCTCTGGGCCTCCCCTAGGTCGAGTCAACCTTAAACGAGCGCCTACTGCGTTGCGCAAAACATCGCCACTGGGAAGACAAAGGCGGCCGGGAGTGGCGCTGGCCACCCACTCCCTTGCGTGCCGAGCCACCCTTCATAATGTGCTCGCTAACAGAATTTTGCCGGAGCCATCTGTATGGCTGCAATGGAAGATCATTGTGAACGCGGTGCCGTGCCTGTTTTGACAGAGTGTGTACATCAGCACAATAGCCTGAGATAAAAATTGCCCACAACGGCAGCGTAAATCCATATTTCGAATCGGGGTCCACACAATAGAGGGTGCGGCCCTGCAATGCCCTTGCTCACGTCACTGCTTGTGGAAGGGCCGCCACTAAGGCAACCCCAGCACTGTGGTTTGTGATCTCCTCTTCCACACTGGCCAGAAGGTCTGGGAAGAGGTGGGAGTGTGTCCACGCTTCACCCCACCACAACACCGCAACCTGCTGATCGACCCACTGCGGCGTGCCCGTCCAATACGGACAGGTCTGCAGACGCGCGGGGATTTTAAGAAACTTGCGGGAGATGGAGTTGTACCGGTGCGGACCTCTGGATCGCAAGTCCAGTGCACTGCTCACCGTTTACACCACGACAGCTTCCCACCCCCTCCCCCCCCCCCCTTCAGAGTAAAGTGTAACCAAGCGCTCAATCCGGCCCACGTCCTGTGCTCGCGGCAGCTTCCCTTGATGGAATACATTTTATTTTTTTTAAACGGTTCTCCCACGCAATTAAACGTCGTGAGCAGTTCGCCGGCTCATGCAGAATGCACAACGAAGTTCTGCTAAATCCTGCGAATTCTGCTCATCGTTACGTGCAGCGTCTGCCAGCAGTGTCTGCTTTTACATGGGGGTGAGTGGGGGGCTTCTAGGGGGTGGGGGGGCAAAGTGAAATATTACAACAGAGAAAAAAAATGTTCGATCAGGAACAAAATATTGGATGTCCCTTTCGACCAGGGGTCGTCGACAACTCTCGTGAGCCACGCGCGGCTCTTCAAGGACCGCCTCGCGACGTTGTTCATTCAGGGCCGCCGTCTCGTATTCACGTTGCGGGAGTGGATAACCACTCTCATCAGATTCAGCCAGTGCTCCAAAGTGGGTCGTTAGTGAGTCCTCGCCATTCAGAGTCCCTATTTGTTACTGGAGGAATCCGATGAGCTCTGAAGCTCTTTTTCACAGATGTCCAGCAGTTTTTACAGATGTTCAGTGTGTGCCTCTAGCCAGTAAACATACCAGCATAGAGTCAACGTTGGCACAACGTTCACCCAATGTTGAGTAAATGTTGAGCCAACGTTGGCTCAACGTTCATGCAACTTTGAGTCAACGATGAGCCAGTGTTGGCTCAACGTTCACCCGACCTTGAGTCAACGGTGTAACAACGTTGGCTCAACGTTCACCCAACGTTGAATCAACGATGAGCCGACGTTGGCACGTGCCTGGAACCCATTGGGCCGACGTTGGCCCATTATCGGCAACATCAACAACAACAACGTCCCGTGTTTACTGTGCAAGGGCACCGAAGGCAAGTCTCAGTAGGGTAACGCGCGTGTGGGGCCGGCATCGATGGACGGTGCTTCTGTGCGCGCATTCGAAGGGCGACATTGAACGGCGTCGCGAGGCACGCGAGCGCGGCGCAGGTTTGCCGCCCGTGAGCGTCGTGATGCGTCGAAGGCAACGCGTCGGGTGCGTGCATGGATAATTTACAACAGCGAACATAAAAATGCCCACGCTGCAATTGCGCGTTGCCGTCTCGCTCGCGGAGACGATGGGGCCGCGAATCCCCGTCATGCCATCACAATTGACACTCGGGACATTTTGTCTCAGGCCCAATAAAATGTATGCTCTCTCTGCCTTTATCCTGAATGCTTTCGTGGGTGTGTGAGTGGTGATGCATAACTCCCCACAGGCACCAATGGGATTTTTTTTAATCTGTGGTTTTTCTTTACAATACTTAACATTTCTTAGGAATGCAATTAATTGTAAGCACCTAAAGTACGGATGCTGTCATTGTGTAATTAGGTCGCCGGTTTCAGTTAGGGTTAGCCATAACCTTTATTCGTTCTGATGGCATGGCAGTGAAACAATGGTGCAAGTTTCATGCATGTGTGTGTACTCCTACCTCTTCTAAGGCGTCTGGCCAGCATGGAAGAGTAGACCAAACTACCCACTAGAGAGGCTCTCTACTGCTCCCCATAGCAAAGGCCCTCTTCTACCAGCAGTGGTGTGAGTAAGCAATTGCAGGGCTGTACCTATACCTTTGTAAGCTCAGCATCTTGCATCCAAGTGTGTGCACATGGGACATATCGTCCTAATGCTACAATGAGTTTTTGGCTACTGTTGGTGCTGAACCAGTGGGTAAACATTCCATATTCCCACGGCAAGGACCAGTTTACCTCCACACGGGGCAGCCCATGTTTAATTTCTATCGAGTGATTGTTGTCTGTCTAAACAACTCCAGAGAGATGATGGGTTGGGTTGAACCCTTGCCGGGGCCCTAACTCGCAATTTAATCATGAGACGCCACACCGCTGTGCCCATCCGTGCCATATTCTGGCCACGTGACACACACAATCCAGGCTCGGTAATTGCCTTCACAAAGAGCTGCTGGCGCAGCGTGGAAATTAGCTCGGCAATGGACACCCCACCTCGTTCGTGATTAGCGTGGTCAGTGTCACTCCATAGCGGCGCCTTGACGACATTGTGAAATATCGCACTTCTTGGGTGGGCTGCGCGCACACTCATCCTACCTGTCATTATTTGGATGTCATTTAAAGGTCCAATGGGAAGTTTGTATTGCCAGCCACGTTGGTCAGCGGTCGGGGGGTGAGCGGCGACTCGCCATTCAGAGTTCAAACGCTGGTTGGGGGTGCGGGGATGACTCAGCCCATCATCCCTGTGGGGTCGATAAAATAATGACCACTTTGTGCGGAAGTCAACCAGTAGTTTTCCTATAGATAGACTCAGCCCTGACATAGAAATGTGGATTTTCCACTTCTGGCTCGGAGCTGTAAACAAGAGATCGACACCACTGCAATGCTCGCTTCATTTGAGTACGAGATTACTGTAAGTGTTTTTTATTTAGCTTGAATGTTCTTGGTGAAGATATATTTATTTAGACATTACATTTCTAATTGTTTCCAACGGATGGGATCGATGCTGCTGGCTGATGGTATAGTGGTTGGTTGATGGTTTTTTTTAAGCATCGCATGAAAATGTTTCGTCATCATTATCATCATCAGCAAACACCGCCTTTTGATTAAAATTAATAATGCTTTGAGTAACGACCCATTTCTAGACAAGAGTGAAAGTGGGTTTTGACCTATACTTATTTGTAGACGTAACTTTCCCAATTACTTAAAATCCAAATTTACTTCAGTTCATTAATATAATTTTGCATTAGCTGCGCTTAAGTGGAAAGCAAACCATTTTAACTACATTTCAAATATTTATTTTTTCAATCAGTTGTTCTAATTCGTGTCTCGTGTACGCTTTATTGGTGAGTTATGTAAGATGCTCTACAGTTTATATAGATACAGTAGTTAAATTCCTGGCCATGGCTAAACACGAGTGGCGCTCACCAACCTGCATTGGCCAGTTTGGTGAAGTATGATCAACAAACAAAAAAATCCCATAACCAACAAACTGTGGG